GGCTGATATAATTATTAAAATTACGCCAAAACCACCCGAGACTCAAAAAGCTGTACGATTAGGCTTTATTTTTTTTTTAAACCTGAAGCATTAAAACACTATTGCTCTAATGATACATCGAAGACCATAACTACAAAGGTATCACCAATGTCATTAAATGAAATGACACAGAGAAGACCACTGATGTTGTGACGTGGTGTAGGTCTCTGATGTCACTGTACAGTGGAGGTCATTGATGTAACAGGACGGTGGAGATCCTTTATGTTAAGGTATAGACCGTTGAAGTAATAGCAGAGCAAACAGCATTGGCGTAATAGTACCGTTGAGACCATTGATGTAATGGTTAAGTGATGTAATTGCATGGTGTAGACCATTAATGTTGAGGTATAGTGAATACCACTGAAGTAATGGTAGAGTTGAGACCACTGATGTTGAGGTACAGCGAAAACCACTGAAGTAATGGTACAGTTGAGACCCTTGATGTTGAGGTATAGTGAATACCAGTGACGTAATGGTAATAGTACAGTTGAGACCATTGATGTATAGTGAATACCACTGATGTAATAGTACAGTTGAGACCATTGATGTACAGTGAATACCTCTGACGTAGTCGTCATTGTACAGTTGAGACCCTTGATGTTGAGGTATAGTGAATACCACTGACGTAATAGTACAGTTGAGACCCTTGATGTTGAGGTATTGTGAATACCACTGACGTAATAGTACAGTTGAGACCCTTGATGTTGAAGTATTGTGAATACCACTGACGTAATAGTACAGTTGAGACCCTTGATGTTGAGGTATTGTGAATACCACTGACGTAATAGTACAGTTGAGACCATTGACGTAGAGTGAATAATACATCTGACATTATGGCATGGTGGAGACCATGGGTATGACATGGTGGAAGTCACTGTTGTAATGGTACAGCCAAGACCATTGATGCTCCAATAGAGTGTAGAGCGAACGCACTGATGTAATGATGTGGTGAAGAAATGATACAGCGGAGACACCCACTAAAGATCATTGGTGTTATGGTACGGAGGAGGCCACCGACACAGAGATATGGAGGATATCATTTATGAAAAAGTAAAAAGGAAACCTCTGACGCAATGATTTGACAGAGACACTCGATTAAATGGGACTGAACAATGGGTAATGATTTTAACACTGATGAAACAGTGTTTGGTGCCAAAACAATTCATCACGACAATGTTTTACTGTAAACCTTGTGACATATCATTACTTTACCATCAAATCAACCAACATGAGAATATGAAGGTGGGAAGATGTGTAGGGCTGTGAAAACATGAAATGAGGGCAATACAAATGCAAAAATGTAATGTCTGACTACCTGACCATCAAAACTTTTCCGAAAGTCACTCTCTGGGCATCAGTTGTCAATACCAGTTTGCGTTTAGTTACATGCATGAAATTGTTTGTAATCAACATGCTTACCAAGGGAAACAAAAGCTTGTTGAACTTCATAGTGTGTGGTGCAAGATAAGTGGAACATGTCAGAATTATACTTCAATAAATCAGTAGTTTTATCTCATGTAACGAACAAATGTCACAAATCTGAGTTTCAAATGAGTAATACCATCTTTCAATATAATATTTGGAAATTCAGTACAACAGTGAATATGTAACTTGTCTACAAAGTGCGAATAGAGTGAGCATGAAAAGAGTGAATTAGTAAGCTGAACAGTTAGGCAACATTGTTAGTAAGATGTGATGAATAAAATAAGATTCAGCATGCATCACACGATCTAGAGGCCATGCAAATGACGACAGGCACATGCACACGCCACTGCAACAAAGCATTAAGTGACTACTGACATGCAGTTATATCAGGTGATTTAGCCCGCTACAAGGACACAATACCATGCATTCTCTGTGTACAATATCTGGGTGTTCAGATCAATTTGCTGACCAATTGGATTTTGTCAAATAAAATGAGTGATCTTTTTGAGGGTACAAAATAATTCATCTGCAAAGCAGAGAATGATGAACAAAATACATTTTTATGTCAGTCTCAAAATAAATCTACACAAAAATACACTCAAATAAATTGAAGGAATAATCATCATGCCTTTTTTTTCCTTTTATCGTGGTGAGCAAAGAAAATTGTCTTTCCCACCTAAATTGGGTGACCAATTTTTCACACAGAATGGAACAGTCAGAACAAAAAAATATAAAAGACATGCTTCAAAAGACAAAGTGGGAGCTGATGTTTGTGTATCAATATTGAGATGATGAAACAATTAAGTAATGAGCCAATACTTGTTTGCTTGTTTAGCATTATTAGGAAAACTACAAAGACTTAAGTCTCATGGTTGCTTGGGTTGGGATTTTGTTTACATTCATGCTGTTATTAGTCGGCACGATGCAAATTTTATTATTAAACAGCTTTGTGCAATCTCCTAATAAGCATATTATCATTGACTTTGAAACAAATGATACCAAATAATGTTGGGGTTTTTTTCAACCAAAACTTGTCTGTTTTTAACAAAACCTCAAAATAAATCTTAACTCATTTGTCAAAAAACAGAAGGTAAACAAAATATGGAAATCAATTTTCTCAGCTAAAACTAAACACTGTTTGCATTTTCCTGAAACCTCCCGTGAATTCCTTTATTTAACATTTGTTTCACTCCCATTAATGACTGTACTTCTTTTATTAATTTACATTGTGCTCTAAATTTTTCAGAAAAAAATTGAACGAGAAAAAAAACTTAAAGTGGACAACAAATAAATAATAGACTTAAGTTACAACTTGAAAACACTTTGCTGCGACTTTGTGTTATTACTATAACTATAATTATGACCTTTCAATAAATAATCAAGCTGCAAATCAGGATTGTCAGTGCTGCTGCCATCTGGCCAGAATCGGAATAGTTAAAAGCTGTTCATATCTCAAAAGACAGTCAATGCTTGCTTCGTTTGCAGCTAGTCATTTTCAGATTCGGAGCCATGCTATAATTTTGCCCCCATTGCTTCTCCAGGATTGGGTGGTTGAACCATTTCTTTGAGAGTCCCGGCTCTGAGAGAACTCGGCCCAACAGGAGGTCTGTGTCAAGTGGTGTATGTCTGCAAGACAAGGCAGGTCTACAACTTGATCAACACAGAGAAAACACAAACAACAAGCCTAGCTGACGGGGGAGAGAGAGACTTGTACACAGAGTGACACTGCTGCTGCTCCTAAATAGGCCAGTGTTCTGCATGAGTGGTCAGGAGGCAAACTAGGGCACACCAGCTTTAACACAGCAGAAAATTTGCACACTGTTAACCATACATCGCTGAAAGATGACACTACACAGCAAACATGTGGTTTCCAAAAGACTGAGGGACTACCAGTCCAATCTCCAAATTATTGTTTTAATGTGAATTACACCCCCACCCCCACCCCACCCCCCAGAACAGTGCCGCAGAAGCAACCATTAAATGAAATAAATGACCAGTAAGGCGAGTCAAGACTACACCCTTAATCAGCAAATCTATTCTTTAATTGTACTATCATTTTCATGAAATAATAGACAAAAATGAGAAATCTGCCAACACAATTTGTGTTTACTGGAAATTACTTGACTCTGCAAAAGCAAGTTTAATGGCACACCAATCAGTGTGATAGGCCTAGTAATAGCCAGAAGGCCTCAGAATTAAAGCTGAAACAGAAGCCGGTTATAATAATAATGTGACATAGTAAACAAACACAACCGACACAAAAACTAAACCAAACAAATCAACAAAAGTGTTAACTTAATGCTCAGCTCAATTAGACTCTTATGTGATTATATTATATAAATAATTCAGTCTTTGCTCCTCATTATTCACAAGCACATTTAAATACAGCTTTATGTTAGATGAGAAACCTCTATAGAAAAGACAACAGCTGTCATGAAGGTGATTTATATCTATGAGCTGGGTACTACACCACAAAAGCTAACACATCTCCAAGACTGCTGTGTTGTATATTTAGCAGGAGCACAAAACATTGAAGCACAGAATTATTTTCTCCTTTGCAAGTTAGGTACATCAGAATATCTCATTGGAGGAGCTGACAATAGGCAATATGAGTACAGCTTGTGCGCGCCGCATGAATTACACATGTTTTTTAAATCTCTTCTTTTCATCTGCAACCAGAGCAATTTATGGTACTAGCTTTACAAATATACATGCACAAAAGGAGTATGTATAATCATAGCTATGAAGTCAAGGGTGTGAAGCGAAGGTTGGGAATGCTGCAAATATATCTGATATTTGAATACTCGAAACATTTGGATTCAGAATACTGTTCAGAAAGCTTTGTGCATGATATTGGACTTAATCATCTATCCCACAGGGAGAAAAGGACATAGGAGAAAAAAAAAAACGAGAAATGAAATGATTAAATAGTGATAAAAAGCCTCAGCAAGGTGATTGCTAAACAGAGGATGTTTACTTGAGAAGAAGAAATTGGAAGATTTTCACACAAAAAATAGATGTTCCTCGGTTGGTTCTCAGATACTGTATTAAGCTGCTGTGCTCTAACTAGTTCTTAATGCATCTATGTAGCACTACAAAAGAAAAATGATAATTTTTAAGACAAAGTTTTACTCTTAATGTGCTCTGAATAAAAAGCCATGAGTGATCAGAAATTTATGATTCCAGCTCATTATGCCAGTGTAAACTTTGATTTAAATGATAAAATAGCAAATGATAAAAAAAAAAAAAGAAATTGCATGACTACTGTAAAAGCAAATTTAGACAAGCTGAACCCCAGTGCACAAATAGAGAAAGAATTAACAAACAAAAGGCACGCTGCTAGCTGTAGACAAGTAGACTTCAGTTTCCTCGAAAAACCATGAGAATACAATAACTTGAGCGCTGACCAGGAGAGTATGAGTGTCCTGAGCCACCATGCTTTTCCCCGTCAACCGCAACCAACCAGGAAACACCTATTTACTACGAAGAATGATGTGAGAAATGAAGGGCCCTCAAATCACGCAAAGATTATTTACCACAAGCTGGCCGCCCGGGCCCTGGGATGCCACAGACACCCCCAGCCACTGGTCCTCAAGCAGCTCGTTGGACCTGGGTGGGGTCGCTGCGGAGCAGAAGAAAATTTCTCTCAACTGTCTAGTTTTTTAATAACAGCAATAGATAAAAGCAAAAAGACTATGATGAACAAATCACATAAAGTCTATGGTACACAGCTCGTTTTTAGTTTACTTTTTGTAAGAGATTTACAGCACTTGCAACACAGAAAGGACATATTATAAGTGTCAAAGATTTGGGGGGGGGGGGGGGGGCATGATGTTGTTTTCCTAGAGAGTAACATATATTTTTAAAAAGAAAGAGGGGAGATGAGGTTGATAGATGTTTGATAAAAAAAAGATGGAGCAAACCACACGAGAGCACCCACCAGCCACCCATACAAATACTTTCTAAACTTTCTTGTGTTCAAATAACAATCAATAAGAAAACAGACTACATTGGACAAATCATACAAAGTTTATGATACAGATCTAAACAGAGGGTACATAATGAAATGAGGAATGCAATTACATGCCGCAAGTAATAGCAGTCCAATTAATGAAAACAGCATTATCTAAACCACAAAAAGTATTGCCCTCACAAAAAAGGGGAGGAACAACATAAAAACACTGCTAAGAAATTCATGCTGATCAATTATACAATAACATAACATATGTTGAATAAACTAGCTTCTTCTTGGGCCATTCAACCCTTGGAACCTTATAAAAAATGTACCCATCCTCCATTTTGTAAAGCAGCATGAATCAACACAGCACTCATAAGCATTGTACAGTAACAGGCAAAAACTGAATGCTAAAACTTGTTTCACACATACTCATCTATTCATAGTCATATAAGTCAAGGGAGATTGCCACCATTTTCATGGCCACCAAAGCAGAAAAGATGTTTGGTTGTTTTGATAAGTGTTTTACAGCACTCACAACTGCTTAAAGTCATATGGGCGCGCGGAACACATTAAACATTTTCAGAAAGTGCAGACAAAAGCAGAAGACAGAACGTGGTTAGAGACCAGGAAAGGAGATGAAAGGAGAAAGTTTTAGAGAAGAAAACTTTCCGTCGCTTCCAGTTTCAGATCCGGGACCTGTTCAATGAGAGGTGAACACCATAACCTCTAGGCCAAAAGAGCCCCCACAAAGCAGCAGAAGAAGGAGAAGAACACTGACACAAAAGTAAACTAGCATGAGGACATACAAACTCCATCAGTGATCCTTGAGCAGTCTGTCAGCTGTCTGGCATTACACCTATACAAAGCACCGCCTGTGTTTTTTCCACCAATCACCACATTTTCTTTTGGAGCTCCAACGAACAGCCTGAAAAGACACAATTTGTTTGGGTTTTCTTTAAAATAAAAAGATGATCGAAGATACATTAACAATCATTATGAGATGCAGTAAAGTCAGACAGACAAATAGACACAATGGAAGGAAACACAAAAAGTTGGAAAGATACAATAGTGAGAAGAAAAGAAATATTACAAAACACTGAGGAGAACTATGTGTGTTAAAACTGTTTCAATGAAGTGCTGAGGTTACCCTATGTGACAATGAGTAGTAAACAGAGCCATGGCACACCAGCAAGAAGTGTCATCGCAACCAACCAGGAAACACCTATTTATAACGGCATTTGTTTAGTTTTAGTAAGAGTTTTACGGCACTTGCAATACGAAAAGGTCATATATTTTTCCTGGATAAGAGGAGATACAAGAGAGTAACAAACACAAAAAAGGAAGAAGACAGATAAGGATGATAGATGAATTAGATGTTTGATAGGAAAAAAGGGCAAACCACACCAGAAAACCCGCCAACCACCCACTTACGGCACTCGCAACTGAAATAGATCCTTTAAGTGTCGAATATTGCAGGAGTCAATTGTAAATTGTAGCTCGCAGAAGCCAGCATTGGAGAAATTCATGTGTTGTATAGCACACTAAGAATGGAATTTAAATGAGCGAGTTCAGTGAAAAGACAGGATCTCCAACATAACGTTCATCTCTGATAGGACACAACCAATATGTAATGGGTCGAGAATATCCTGTTGGTGATTTAGATCCAACACCTCCTGCACAGCAGCCTACCATGATACCAACTGAGCTAGCCATGTGACCTATCAGAAGTAGAACGTTTAAATTACTAATATGTCTAGTACTGTAAAAAGAAAAAGAAAGAAATAAAATAAGATAGAACAGAAGAGGAAGCCACCAGCTGGGTATCCTAGCAACCATGTGATAATGAAAATAGAAGCAAGATAAGACCTCTTGTTCTTAAAGATAACATCTCCTGCTTTCCACTAGAGTTATCCAAAAAAAAGGAAGATGACCACACATTTGATCAGATTGTGAGGGGGGAGGACTTCTTTTTTCGGGG